GGCAAAACTGGCTTTTGTTCATCGTTAACAGCTGAAATCAAATTAAGCTAAATTGAGAAGGAAATAAGCACAGTGTTAATTAGGAGCAGATTCATGCACATCACATTCTAAACCACCAGATAATTCTGCGTGGGTGAACCAATTCCTGTACCAAGTGTAACTTGCAGCTTTTGTTTTGCTGCCTTGGGAGCTGGCACAAAGATGAGCTGTAAATAAAATTAATACAACAGGATAATGGTAATGAGCTGAGAGCAAAGGCCTTCAGCAATTTTGTATGCGGGATTCATGTTGTATTCTGTTTCAGCATGAACATGTAGCTATTTTTAAGGATTAGCATGGTGCATGGTGAAAATACGGCTCATTATCGTTGAACCCAAACACCTCTTCTGCCATCTGGAGTTGGACTCTACCAAAATGCCTCTGTACATTGGGAAAGCTTTGACTTCACATCATGTGATGCTATGAATCAGTTCAATATCTTTAACAGAACTATTTTAGAGCAGGTTCTAACAACAGCCCCATGGGAAAAAACACACAAACAAAGGCAACAGAGGAAATGGATAATGGGATTTTTTTCATATACTGAACTACCGGAATGAATAATAATCTAGTAATTGCTTACATATATAGAAAATGACATCTTGTGACTCTGCCCTTAACCTGTTCTATACTCTGGAGAAATGTGGCATCCTCCGCACCTGTGTGGAACCCTAATACTCAGGTAACCTGTTTGCATCCAACATTGGTAGCGGAATACACAGGTGATCACACTGCTATTGGGGTTACAGGCATTAAACAGTTGGCCTAGTGCAATACTGTCCCAGCTACCTTCTGTTGCTCATTCAGATGCACAAAGAAGCAGCTAAGCCTGTGTCCTCCCTTGCACAAATTATTATGTGTCTTGCTCTTGCTGTAACAAATGTTATGCGGCATGCAACTGGCAGGTAGCAGACTGCAGGCTGCTTGGTTTCATGACCAAGGGTAGCAGCGGTGTGCAGATAATTTGAGACTCACAGGTGGGATGAAGATCCTTTGAATATTACTATTGAGGAGTGATAAGTGTGGTCATCTCAGGAGCAAATAGAGGGGATTAAAAACTTGGCATCATGCACTTTGCCTGTCCGCCCTTCATAAATATCCTAGCCATAGTAATTGGCACGTGTGGTAGCTCAAATCCTTTGTCCCACTTGAAAAGATTTGCAGATAGTCCTTGGTCAGCTTGGCTATTTAGTTGTCCCTGGCACCTTACATCTTGTCTCACATGGGTATGTGAGCCCCCAAAACATACACTTTTTGTGCAAACACCTCAAAGTGATTTAGGAAGCCAGGTATTATCCCTGCATTGCAAAGAAACTGTCCACCTACTTTTTATAGTCCTTAAGTCTGCCTTTTTTTTCTCTTCTTCAACTCAACTCGTCCTTCTAGAAATTTTTGTACAACGTTGCTCTTACCTGCAAGGAGGCAATGCTGTCTTGCTGTATATTAGCAAAAGCTCTTGCATCTGCCAATTCTCATCATATTCTGGGGAGATCAGGTAAGCTTGTTTTGAAGACTTTAGTCTTCGACAAGAACCAGATTTTTAAAAAATTATGGTATTTCACAATAACACATACTGTAACTGAAAACCTGAAGCATTTCTGACAGCTGGAGCTCCATGGAAATTAGCACAGTGAAGGAATGTAGCTAATTTTAAGGACTAGAAAATAAGAAAACTGGGTAGGCTGAAGTTAGGGATATCTATGGGAAATAAATTGGGTGTTTTTTGAGCTATTTACTCACTTTATTCACAGTGTCTATGTCTAGACTGGCATGATTTTCCGCAAATGCTTTTAACGGAAAAGTTTTTCCGTTAAAAGCATTTGTGGAAAAGAGCGTCTAGATTGGCACGGACGCTTTTCTGCAAAAGCACTTTTTGCGGAAAAGCGTCCGTGCCAATCTAGATGCGGTTCTGTGCAAGAAAGCCCCAATCGCCATTTTCGCCATCGGGGCTTTTTTGCGCAAAACAGTTTTTAGCTGTCTACACTGGCCCTCTTGCGCAAAAACATTTCTGGAAAAGGGCTTTTGCCCGAATGGGAACGTCAAAGCATTTGCGCAAGAAGCACTGATTTCAGACAGTAGAACGTCAGTGCTCTTGCGCAAAATCAAGCGGCCAGTGTAGACAGCTGGCAAGTTTTTGCTCAAAAGCGGCTGCTTTTGCGGAAAAACTTGCCAGTCTAGACACAGCCAGTCTGTATAACAAAGTAATAAAAACATAACTGAGACAACAGCAGAGTATGGCAAAAGCAGCATATTTGTCTGGGAGGGAGTAACTCAGTTTGGTCAGTACGGACCCTTCTGAGAAATTAGCAGCTTTGGTGTGCTGGGCTTTGGAGATCTGTTGGTTGAGAAGGATGGTAGGACAGAAGCAAAGGAGGACATCTTCAGGGCTCTGTGTAAGATGGAGGGAGATGAACTCTGAAAAAGTACCAGCACTGTAGTAGGATGTGTGAAATCCTTAGCTATTTCCTTTTTAGAGGTGAGACGAGTACTTAGAAAGAGTCTCGATTTGTCTATTGAGGTAGTGTCCTGAGAACAGTTAACCTTCTTAAAAAGATAAAAGTAGAACGTCTAAAAAAGCAAATATGATTCTAGGTTGTATCAACAGGTGTGTTGTAAACAAAACTCGTGAAGTCGTTCTGCCGCTCTACTCTGCACTAGTTAGGCCTCAGCTGGAGTACTGTGTCCAGTTCTGGGCGCCACATTTCAAGAAAGATGTGGAGAAATGGGAAAGGGTACAGAGAAGAGCGACAAGAATGATTAAAGGTTTAGAGAACATGACCTATGAAGCCAGGCTTCATGAACTGGGCTTGTTTAGTTTGGAAAAAAGAAGATTAAGCAGGGACATGATAGCGGTTTTCAAATATCTAAAAGGGTGTCAGAAGGAGGAAGGAGAAAATTTGTTCCTCTTGGTTTCTGAGGACAGGACAAGGAGTAATGGGCTTAAAGTGCAGCAGGGGAGGTTTAGATTGGACATTAGGAAAAAATTCCTAACTGTCAGGGTGGTCAAATATTGGAATAAATTGCCAAGGGAGGTGGTGGAATCTCCCTCTCTGGAGATATTTAAGAACAGGTTAGATAGACATCTGTCAGGGATGGTGTAGATGGAGCTTGGTCCTGCCTTGAGGGCGGGGGGCTGGACTCTATGACCTCTCGAGGTCCCTTCCAGTCCTATTATTCTATGATTCTATGATTCTCTTCATGCCGGGAGTTGCTCCTCACTGAGAGTCTGTCTCTGCTGTATTTCTTAGTACCATCTCTCCAGTGGAGCCCATATGATGCTTTAACGCAATGGTTCGCAACTCGTTTCATTCCACAGACCACCAGGCCAATCAAAAAATTTTCATGGGCCACCTCCAACACGTGTAGCACAGGATGAACGACACAGCAACTACTTAGCATGATGGTGGCAGCTACACTGATGCTGAGAGCCTCAGATAGAAGTTACTGGCAACACATCATGGTTGCGTCCTAGGTGACGCTATGGATGACACGCCGTGTGCTTGTGAACACAGCGTAAAACAGCCTAACGGTGGCTCCTGCTCACGCCATGTGACTTTGGACAATGTTCCTGTGGACCACCAAAAAAAGTCACCATAGACCACCAGTTGAGAACCACAGCTTTAACGCTATATGGTCGTTATTCCAGCCAAGGAGGAAGAGTAGCTGGTACCCCCAACAGAACGTCGGTGATGTCCTGATCTAACTCCAGCAACCAGTGATTAGTGGAGGAAGGTTTTTTTCCTCTGTCTGGTGTACAGCCTCTCCCTGTCTTTGGCTATTTGCCTTCACGATATGGGTCCCACCCACTTTCATTGATAGAGACAACTTATTCATTGGTGCCAGATTCCAGCACTGAAAGGAGCCCGGGGCTGTCCTACTTGTAAGGATAGTGATAGAAATGTAGCCGTGTTAGTCTGGTGTAGCTGAAACAAAATACAGGACTATGTATTTTGTTTCAGCTACTTGTAAGGATATCTTCACAAACAGAGGCTAGTTTTGCTCTCTCTCAGCACTTGGTTTTTCTTTGCTATGTGAAGATGTGAAATGGCTTTTTAGGTTGCAGTTTGGGGCATCACTGGGGAAAAAAACACACCGCATAAAGAACTGTGTCTGTTGGCTTACTGTTCATTATGAGTGGGTCAAAGCTTTTCGTAGAACATCCAGCAGAAGTCCCTCCCCCCACACACACATGGGCACACGTTGTCTTTTTATAGGAAAATAATTTTCACTCTTCATATCAGACAATAAAATCACCACTTTGAGCAGGGTAATTCAGAGGCAGGGCCAGGAGGAGGAGCTGTACACATTCCCTGGAGTTTGAAATGGAGAAGTCAAACTCTCCTCAGAGCAAAAATGCCTCGTCCATTGAATCATCCAACTAAGTTCTAGGTTTCCACATGAAAGACCTCGTGAGATAGGCGAAGTGGAGGGTCATTTTATGAGTGTAAGGGAGCAGGTGCTTCTTTACAGAAAACACAGTCCCCTGTAGAGAAATCAGTCCTGGGAAGAGTTACAAGAACCACCACCACCCATCCATGTCCCCAACTTCGTGCTGAATCTGGTAAATGTAGACCTGTCCTTTAGCAAGTGCCATTGCCACCTATTTATATAAAATAAACAGAGTTCAAGCATTTTTACGATAGTCATAAAGCCTGTTCTGCACAAAGGCAGATCAAACCTGGGTCCTCTGCATTTGAGTCCTATTCACACAAATGTATGATTCCTGGGTTTTCCTGAATTGCTACTGGGGGAAGAGGGAGGCAATTACCCGAATGCAGATGCTTAATGCAGGTGATAATAAGTCAAATCTTCCAAGTTATTCCTTTCTGGGCTTCCCGGTGCATTTGATCTTTCCTGGTATCTCTGAATAAGTGACTCGGGGCAGGTACTATTTTTATGTAGTGTGCTGTATGGCACTGAACAAATACGATGTAAACAAGACGGATGACAGTAACTCTGAATTTTCAAGAAGAGATGGTTAGAAATGTATCTAACTTTTATTTTTAGTAACGAACAGGGAACCAATAGCAAGGATCAAGTCACAAATAGGCGCAGCATCACTGTAAACCAACCACTGCACTAATAGTTAACATGTATACAGGAATTGCAAATAGATTAACATAATTAGTTCTCAGGCAATGGTCAAAAACACAGAAAGGTCAGCATGAATGTAATATGGATGCTTCTCAATCAGCCAGCCTAATGTCTTTCAAAGTAGAGACACAGCCATAGAAATTAAATGGCTGGAATGACTGATTGCCCTTCAGGCAGCTAGGGTTGCCAGATGGTTTCAACAAAAATACCGGAGACACTTGACATTACATCACAATCTACATTACCTCTGATTTAGAAAATTTCTATTTTCTCACTTTGTTTCCCCAACAGAAAACTCAAATACTGGACTGTCTGGTTCAAAACCGGACACCTGGCAACCCTACAGGCAGCTGAAAACGAGAGACCAGATGCGGGCCTAATCTACCACTCCCGTTTCTGTGTATAGTTCTGCCCTTTCACTCTTGCCTGGGCTGTGTTCATGGAGGAACAGCGCTAGCTGCTAAAAACGAGAGCTCCAGTGCCAGGGATCAAGTCCCCATGCTCCCCATGAATGCCTATGTCTGGAGGATGCCTGTACGCAGCTTGGGGTTCCCACAAGAGACAAAGTTGAAGCCCTCTCCTGTATGACTCTTCAACAGCTGCTGCTCAAACTCTTACCCTGGCCTCTCCTGACTCCTTGCTCCATCGGCCTGACCTGCTCTGGGAACTTTACCACTTTCGAGATGCTTTCTTTGGAGTAACCATCACTAGGGACTGGGGTTCTGTAACTTGAGATAAAGGTTCTGGTTCGGGCAGGGAGCTCTTTCCATGCACCCATCCCGAGCCTTTGCCCCTGTGTCCATACCTCCCACTTCTCCAAAATACCAGCACTAATGTATTTAACTCCTTGCATTCTAGATTAAGTACCAAAGGCTTGCACTTCTCATGGTTGTCCTGCCTCCTCTTCATCTGAACAAGATGCCAAATTTCTCAGTTAGAAGCCTTTTACAATGATAAATAGATAGACACTCTCAAAATGTAAATGCCATGGTTTTTTCAAAACCCGGCCAGAGAACAGTAATGTGAACTAAGTGGTAATCTTCATCTTTCTTCCCTTTAGAGATCCTCCCAGGATGCCACCTGCCGTTGGAGTCACTGTGGAGACAAGAAAAGACACCGGTGCTTCAGCTTACCTATTGCTGCTTTTACATACTGGATAACTTTCCACACACATCGCTCATTTCCTTTTGGCCCATACCCACGTCTCTCTCCTTCACTTCATCCTCTGCCACTGCCTCTCCAGTCCCTCTCGTTAGTACAAAACTTCACTGAGTTCCCTTTTTATTTTAATAAAGGGCAAAACTCAAAGGATGGCCCAGTGAAAGAAATGCACTTAGATGGAGCTGTTGTTATTATGTAAAGAAGCTGCTTGATGTGTATTTCTGGACAACAGCACTGCCTAGATTGGCAAGTAGTTTCAACTGATCACTGCCTTAATCCCTTTCTGATTTACCTGGAAAAACAAACTTACCATACAAAGGCCAAGTTTTGAGCTTCTAGCTAGAGTAAAGCAATTTGAGTGAGGCGAGCTCTACAGCATCTGGCGTTTTTGCCTAGAAAACTTCGTTCAAACAGTGTGAAAGTATTTACAGCATCATGTGAAACGAATACACCTTCTCCTCCATCCCTCCAATTCCCACAAGCAACATACCGGTGCGGCTGCTCTACCAACTGGCCCCTCTTCAGGTCGATGCTTTCCCTGATGGGGAAGTTCTGAACTCTCCCGGTAGTCTCGGCCCTTGGGATTCTGCTTGTCTAGTACTGCCCGGCTCTTTGTAGGAAGAGGTGGCTTGCTGTACTGTCCCTGACTGCTTGGACCTACTTCCGACCTTGAGGGCTTGACTGGTTTCTTCAGTGGTGCTGGGCTTTCTAAGCATGGAGGGGGCTTCTGCTTGACCTGAGCCTTTTCACTTAGAGTCTTTTCCTCAGTTTGGTTGGAGCAGGTGTAGGACCGGAATCTGGGCGTGGGGACCAGGAAAGGAGGGGATGGCTGCTTGTTGGAAGACTTGCTGCTGTCGGCATCCTGCAGCTTGCTGGGAAGGAAGCCAGGATTTGGAAGCACCGGGAGCTCCTTTCGCAAGGCCGCAGCATAGTCCTGTTCCTTCTTGGGTGCCACCTTCCCTTTTGAGCTCATGGCGCCGTACAGCGGGTTATCAAACATCTCAGGCTTCTGCTGCATTTCCTCTTGAAGCAAAGGCTCGCTCACACTTTTTCCCAGGTCAGCTGGCCTGCAGCCGTCAAGGCAATATGGAAACGACAGGTGTGATTAGGGGTCGTCACTGAGTGACTCGTACAAGGGAGAGCAAATGGAAGAGTGAGCGTAGGAGAATTATGCTGACTGTGCAGCGGGGCAGGGCGATAACAGAATAACAGTCGAACCAGTGGGGAGGAGAACAGAGGGTACACGGGTTTTGCTTTGTTTAAGCTTTATTGACAGGAGAGCTGAGAAACTGACCCCAGAGCTGGGTCCTGACAAAACTTGGTGTTTTTTTAAAAAGAAATTAGCAACAGAGCCAAACTGTGCCAAGGGCTGCGATGGTTTGGAGAAGAGCACCAGTCTGACTGGATGAACAGAGCTCATCACTTGTGGCTGAAGGGCCTGGAATGGAAGTCTCTAGAATGTTAGCCCAAGAACTGACACCACACCTGTGTCACAGTTGGGCCATTACAGCCAATCTCCTATAGCTGCCAGTTGGTTCAGGGGAAGGAACAAAGCACCCCTCAAAACACACAACTGCATGGTAGTTTCCGGCCCTACAAAAATGGAGTTAATAGGAGCCTGCCCCCCAAGCGCTGCCCCCCTCTTCTCTTGCAGGGTCAGAGGGTTACTTTGTGTTTAGTGAAGCCTGCAACCCCCTTGCTGTGTCTACACTGGCCAATTATTCCGGAAAATCAGCCGCTTTTCCTGAATAACTTGCCAGCTGTCTACACTGGCCCCTTGAATTTCCGGAAAAGCACTGACGATCTACAGTAAAATCATCAGTGCTTTTCCGGAAAAACTATGCTGCTCTCGTTTGGGCAAAAGTCCTTTTCTGGAAAACTATTCTGGAAAAGGGCCAGTGTAGACAGCACAGATTTCTTTTCCGCAAAAAAGCCCCGATTGCGAAAATGACGATCGGGGCTTTTTTGCGGAAAAGCGCGTCTACATTGGCATGGATGCTTTTCCGGAAAAAGTGCTTTTCCAGCAAAGCATCCTGCCAATGTAGACGCGCTTTTTCCGGAAATACTTATAACAGAAAACTGTTCCGTTTTAAGCATTTCCGGAAAATCATGCCAGTGTAGACGTAGCCCCTGAGTTTGAGCCTGAGAGAGCAGCGGTAGATGGGTTGTTGAGGTTGTGTGGGTGCTGTGCTGGTGAGGCTGATCACACACCAGCTTGACCACTCAAAGAGCCACACTCCTCTTGCTGGAATGGGGGATGAATGGCACGCGGGGAAGGGAGCTTACGAATGAGAACCGTTCTTTGCTCTGGAGGCCTTCCTTGAATGGTGGGGGGGGGCGGTTCTGTGTGGGGCAGCGGAGTGTGGGAGAAAGACGAGGGGAGAGGTGGTAAGGAGGGTGCCATAGAAAAGCAGGCTTGGAGCGTAGGCTCCTTTTAACTCCATTGTTGTAGGATGGCAAAGGGGTTGACTAGGAACGTAGCCTCCTGTCCCAGATAAAACCCATCACCAGGGCTCCATTAGAAGCAATGGAATGAGGCTGGGGGGTACATGGGTGCGGTGTAACCTCATCACTTCACTGAGCAGCTTGTCAGACGAGGGATGTCTCTGATGCGGGATGGATTTAAATTGGGCGTCAAGGCTGGTGGTTACTGAGACCCATGGGCACTGCATCGGAACCCAACTAGAACTGCATCTAAAAGCCTGCCATGCCAACATGAGGAGCTCTCCTTCCTCCCCCACGCTCCTCTTCACTTCTGAGTGGCCACTCGCCCCTAAATCAAGACTGGGAAGGAATTACCCACAGCGCTGTCACTTTGGGCTGAGCACAGGACTGAGGGCTGGTCACACTGGGTTCCCTTAGGATGGGCAGGGCCAGCATCCATCTCACGCCTCTCTTTCTGCTCCCAGAGGGTGAGGGTCACTACAGCCTCGCACTGCTCCTCCAGCCCACTACACAGATAACAAAACAGTGACTGTGCGGTGGGGGGGAGTGGAGGAGACCAGCATAGCCCCAGAGCCAGGGGAAGACTCACCCATGCTCTTGACTCCTGGGGCCAGAACTTCGGTTTGCTGTAGGCTGAGCAGACGATTTTGGAGACAGGGGTGACTGGGAGGAAGGTGTGGAGCACGACTCCCTCTGCCCCATCACAGAGACGTTCTCTTTAGGCTGCTGGTCGTAGGTCCAGCCGGCAAGTGTCTGGTCTGATGAAGGGCTCTGCTTAAGCTGGCCGGGTGCAGGGACTTGTTGAGAGAAGACCACCCCCATATAGTTGGGATTGCTGATGTCCGTGGGTGTGGAGCTGCCGGAGGGAGGGAACAGTAAGAGGAAAACACACTTGCCCAAAGCCCCTGTCAGCAGACAGCTACTAAGGAAAGAGCCTCATGGCCACTGACTGGGACCTCCTTTTGGGTATATGTTTTTGGTGGATGAGATAATGTGGGAGTCTTGGCTGCTCCCTCCATAGGACCTTTGCGGGCGGAGGGCTGCCTGGTCAGGGTCACCACTCACTCCTCAGCTCACCCCCCAATAGGCTCCTGTGGTGTGAAGTAGTCCACACACTGCTCGTAGCTACTTATGGGGCCCAGAAGCCCTCCCAAAGGCTTCCAGGCCCTGTAGCTCAGCTGGAAGCTGCAGCAGAGATATACAAAGTAAGGAGCAGATGAGCATGTGGCCTAGTAGTGTGCAGGCTACTTCAGTCAGAGCACAGAAATCCGGCCTGGCTCCGTGGACGGGGGTGAAGGCAGCCAGCTAGAAAACGGGTGTGGTCGCCGGTAGGCACCAGAGAAGGAAGACCTTCCTTGGAGTAAGTCTGAAGCATGCAGTGACTGGCGGTCTGAGGGTAGCTCCCACGCCAACGCCAGCAGAGTGAAAGCGGCCAGCTTACCGGGTCGTGTCGTCCTTGCCCTGGGCATCCGAAAAAGGGGACGCGTTTCCCCTAAAACGAGCAACAGCCGCCGCTTCTTTAGCCATCAAGTGAGCAGGTTTTGATTTTCTGTTGGAGGGAAGGGGCACTTTTGAGGACGGGGGCAGGACCTCAGCCTAGTTAATCCATTCTCATTCCTTGCCATGCCAGACAGTTTCACCCACCCCTGCGCAGAACCCTGCTGCCGTCCAGTTGCTTTCTTGGGAAGGTCAAGGCAGGAGAGTGTAACTCTGTAGCTGTTACCAGCAAAACCAGGAAGGTGTAGGGCAGGGCAGGGAATCTTTTTTGCATCGGGGCTGCTGACCCACAGAAAAATCAGTCGGGCCCAGGCTAGTAGATTTTGTGCACTCCAGCCCCACAGGATAAACAGCAGTGGGGGCTGGGTGGGAGAGCTGGAGCACCAGTGCAGGTTCCCCAATGCTGAAGGGGAGCTGCGAGCCTCAGGGGCCGGATCCAGTCAAGTCTTTGGTTCCCCACCTCAGTGTAAGGGGCGCACAGGGAGCAGCTGTTCAGCTCCCGCTAGATCTGTTTTCTGACACACCAGCGAGAGCCACTTCTGCACTCAGCTTGCAGTGCAGACGGACCACTTCTGAGTGTCTGAATTGCTGCCTCTTGGCCCTTTACCTGTTTGGTTGCTCCAAGTCTTTGGGGAAATCAAAGCTGCTGGTGCCCTTTAGTTTCTGCCCAGCAGTCTCATCACGTTCAGTCTTCACAAAATCTGGAGGCAAAGAAAAGGCAGGAAAGAGCATTTGAGTGAGTCATGGCCTTAGCGTATGACTTCCAGTCTTGGGGCTCTGAGCTAGGCTGGGCTGAGCCTGGCCGGATGTCAGGGCATAGACATGTCCAAAAGGACTGGTTTATCCAGTCAGGAATGGATGGCCAGGCGTGCATTTTCCTTTAGATCGAGAGCCCGCTGTGCCCTTTTCAATGTACCACCAGGTGTCTGGATCAGAGGCAAACCGGTCTCCCTGCCCTGCAGCCATCGCAAGTGGACAAGCAGCCATCTCTTTCAAGAGAGGCTGCATGTTGGAGAGACAGGGAGAGGGCTCCCTCGGCCTGTTCATTCACGTGGAGAAGGGAGAGGAAGAGCTGAATGTGACTGCTGTGGTTTTCTGGAGTTGCTCATGCCCACTTCCCAGGAAGAGACAGATCCTCTTTGGATCACCACCACTGAAAGCCATTGGCTGTTACGAACGAAAAATGCGGCTCGGATAAGCTCAGTTCTGACAGGAATCAGATCAGGCCCTTCTGGATCAGACCACAGTACCCTGGAGTGAGCCCCTCCCGGGGCGAGGTTCTTACCATACAGCTTCTCCCTCTGTTTCCCTTGCGAGGTCTGTAACTTGATTTCACCTTGGAAGACCCCAGTTCTCTCACCATGGTGCGTTAGCACAACATGGAAGGGGACAAGCGACTCTGTAGCTTCTATTCTCAGGGCAATGCAGCCTTCACCTAGAGAACAGGGAGGAAGTGTGGAGCTGAGAATGACCAGCACCATTTCCGTTCAAACAGAACCGAGGGACTTGGGATGTGACTGGAAAGAGAGATTCTGGTTCGCGTCACAATGGGAACTGTGTGATAGCTGCAAACTCAGGCGGGCGAGGGGCGCCCATCCCCTTTTTTGGGTACTCAAGGGTTTGTACAGGATACCTCAGGCCCCATTAACAACTCGGTGCTCTGAGCCGCCATTATTGTGAAGGACAGTGCGTGGCCCTGGACTGCATGATATGGGTGCCAGTGGAGCGGCTCTCTCCACCTCAGGACTGTGGTCCGTCGGCCGAGCAGGGTGAGAGCGGTAATCTGGCTGAGCACTGATTGTGAATTTCTCTCGGGCCCTGCAAGAAGTGGCCTTTTACCCATCAGATATGGAATACGCAAAGTAATGTGGCTGAGCACTAATTATGAATTTCTCTCGGGCCCTGCAAGAAGTGGCCTTTTACCCATCAGATATGGAATACGCAAGGGAAGCGGCATTTATAAGCCCTGGATAAAACCCACATGACAGAGTGAGCTTGGCTGTAATCCCGGCAGGGCACTTTGCCTGTAAATCCCTGTCATTCTGATGACGTCTATACTGCCGAGTCTTTTCATCCTCATTCGTGCAGAGCGTTGCACACGACCTGCGTGTCATCCCTGTTCAGCTCTCCACCAGAATCCAGAGCACCTTCCGTCTGTACTAATCACTGCCGTTCTCTCCCACGCTTCCGGTGATTACGAACCACCTGAGGAGAGCTTGACTCATAGCCAGCGCTCGAATTAAGCACTTACCATAAGATTCATCGCTGTCTGAGGACTTAATGCTGATCAGAATGTGCTGGTCCAGCAGGTACTCTGGGTCTGAAATAATCGGGGTCAGCTGCAAGGGCAAGCCCAGAGGAGTCAGTTCAGTGGCGAGGGACGCACACAGAAATAAAGTTCTGCCTTTGTACGTGGGCCCAGACTGAGCAAGGTTCCCCCAGCTAGGGCCCTGGAGATTCCTGCTCCTCCAATGCCCAGTCCAGCCCTAAAGCGCCCCGTGCCCGTTCCCATTCCCGGTGGGGAGGCTGCACATCAGGCATTTACACAGAGCACCGCTGCGGGCCTTCCTGTCTAGGAGGGAGTGATTTGGAGCCCAACTTCAGTCTGCTCCAGGCGATTTGGAGATCACCGCTTTCACTTCCAGTAAGGTCCTGGGGTTGTCCCGCAAGGCCTTCCAAAACTATCTGGCCAGGCCAGCCTTTCCGGACCCAAGAGTCTCCCCCTCAGATTATCCACAAGGGTAGTCAAAGGCTCGCTTTCGTGAATGCCACTGCTGCCAGGGAGTAGAAGAGCAGCAGCTAGCCCCATGACTGAATACTAGTGCTAGCCCAGCAAAGGGCCTTTTAAGGCTTGCCTCTTGGTAAATGTTTTCTAGGACGTGCACCTCATTGTTTTTCAGAGGCCATTTCCTCCTTGCCTTGGCAAGCATGCCGCCTTGGAAGAGTGCAGCAGATCACCTGCACTTCCCCGCTCTGAATGCCTGGACCTTCTCCCTGTGTACCAAGGAGATCCACTGACTAGCAGGACAAACTATTAATCTCCATGCTCCATGCCAAGGGTTCCCATCTACTTTCCAAAAGCGAGCCTGGCACTTGAAACCCATGTTGATTTGAAAAGCAGGTTTGGTTGCTGTTTATCAGACATACGGACAGAGGACGTCTCTAAAGGGGCGTGAAAAAATAGTCTCCACTTACCTTAGGAAGAGCCTCCGTGAACATCACCACCAGTTCCCCTTCATTGCCATCTTCATTTTCCCCTTCCTGGCTCTTTACAAAGCCTGCAAAGAGTGATGCCAAACGGGATCATCGGCCAGGCGAGAGAGAGACCCACACAGTAAGAACTCACTTTCAGAGGCTAGCTCCCCAAAGGGCCTACTAGGGATTTTCCGCTTTGGGCACAAGACTTGTAAAGCGCTGGGAGCTTGAGGGCTGGACCTTGAGTGAACACTTCCATAGCACATTGATTCCATTGATTCATTCCATTGATTCTGGGATGCAATTGTGAGCAAGACACGAGAAGTCATTCTTCCGCTCTACTCTGCACTAATTAGGCCTCAATTGGAGTACTAGGTCCAGTTCTGGGCATCACATTTCAAGAAAGATGTGGAGAAATTAGAGAAGGTCCAGAGAAGAGCAATAAGAATGATTAAAGGTCTAGAGAACATGACCTATGAGGGAAGACTGAAAGAATTGGGCTTGTTTAGTTTGAAAAGGAGAAGACTGAGAGGGGACATGATAGCAGGTTTCAGATATCTAAAAGGGTGTCACAAGGAGGAGGGAGAAAAATTGTTCTCCTTGGCCTCTGCTGTTAGGACACAAAGCACTGGGCTTAAACTGCAGCAAGGGAGGTTTAGGTTGGACATTAGGAAAAACTTCCTGTCAGGGTAGTTAAACACTAGAATAAGTTGCCTAGGGAGGTTGTGGAATCTCCATCTCTGGAGATATTTAAGAGCAGGTTAGATAGACATCTATCAGGGATGGTCTAGATGGTACTGAGTCCTGCCATGAGGGCAGGGGACTGGACTCAATGACCTCTCGAGGATCCTTCCAGTTCTAGTGTTTTATGATTCTACATTTGCAAATGGCCATACTGTGTAACCATTAAATGATTTTGTTTTGCAGCCAAATTTGGCATTAAAACACTCAGTACGGGCATGGACAAGAGGGGGAGAACATGACAGCTCTTCCCACGCCACTCAAGATAGCACACTTTTGAAATTCTAATTTAAGCCTGGTAATACGCTGTTGCCATAGAAATTTATGCAAATTTGGATGCAACCAAAAAATAATCTTTTCTGGAAATGTTTTTGACACGGCTCTCTGTTAGGAAGATATTGTGATGAAGTGCACAGCAGAGGACCGGCTGGGCCCGTGATTGGAAAGAGGGTAATAAACCCAGCATGGGC